CCAGCCCTAGCTCAAAAGGCCACCTTGCTCATTGCAGTTGTCTAATAGCTAGATGCAAAACAATAGGAAATGCTGCAGTGCATAGTAGTTCTAATCAAAACGGGACCGCCAACCTTAGCAAGGGAAACCGGGGACCGCCAACGTTAGGAAAAAAAAAAGTGCTCCGCCGGGCTTAAGGGTTAAGCGCCACATGGCTTCCGCAGCTTAATTGAGGGCATAGAACTTTTTCAGTCATTCAAGACACATTAAACACCCAGTTCAAAATTACACAATGGCCAAGAAGCCGATACAACGCTTTTACAGCCGCCCGTGCCACATCTTGACACGCACCTCTCGCCTCCTGGATGCCGTGGTGGGTGTTTTCAGATCGGGTTAAAATGGATTTCGGGGTCTAAACCCTAAACCCTAAACCCTAGAGTTTCCAGTCTTAGGGTTCCAAAGCGAGGGCTTTAGGCTTCAGGGTCGCGGCCTTCCTTCTCAAAGAACGCGGAACTGCCCTGAACTCCCTTAATGTGGTAAGAAGAAACCCGAAATCCTAAACCCCCGAACTCCCAAGGGTCCTAGGCACCTATATGGGGGATACTTGCCCAAACCATAATGGTAGGTCTTACGGTATTATAGAAATCTTCATTCTACTATAGAATATAGGGGCCTGAATAATTACTGATACTATTTTGGGGGTTCCTTATTATAATATACTGTAAAAAGGACCCCAAAACCCTATTCTAATTATTAAGGCCCCCTCAAAAGGTGCTTAGGATTTTTTTGGTGTCCAAAGCTTTGCAGGCTTGGACAAGGCCAAGCGATACCTCGAAGCCTTCGCCAAGAAGTGACTTGGCTTGGCCCTACGAGTTTGGCGTTTTGTTCAATAGGACAAATCATAGAACCTGATGGCATTGTACCTCTGGTCCTACACCCCAAACCCTAGACCCTCAAGCAAAAACCCAAAACTTCTGAGCATCTGTAAAAAAGGGTTCAGGCTTTCGAGCATAGGGCTTCGGGTTTCAACTCATTTTTTTGCGTCGTAGTGCCGGTAAGCTATACAACCCTATCTTCCCGAGCCTTTTCACGCTATGAAGGCCCCGACCTGTCTTCAACAATACTAAGCGTCATACGCCCCATGCAAATACCCTAAACCCTACACCGTAATAATACCCCTAAACCACAAAACCCTAAACCGTCCTGCAGCAGAGCAGTAAGGTATCCCCTTATCTCCTGGGCGGACCTGATCCAGTTGGCCTCGGCCACCGCCGTGGAGGTCCCTTCCTTCGAGAAAAAGTCGGGGTAGGATTTGTAAAGGGGTGTATCAGGGGTTTATAGCTTGGGTTTAGGGCTTAGGTCTTTGCGGGGCTTCTTAGCAGGGCTTCTCATAGGGCTCAAACCCCAAACCCTAAACCGGAAATCCCAAACCTTAAGCTCTAAACCCTGAATCCTGAACCCTAAACCCTAAAACTCTAAACCCTAAAACCCTAAGCCCTAAACCCTAAACCCTAAGCCCTAAACCCTAAACCCTAAAACCCCTAAGCCCTAAGCTCGAAGCTGTTAGGTGACTGGTGGCCCGGTGATCGACATGGTCTACGGCCGAGTAGCAGTGGCAGGTCCTCAGGATCCGCCTGGGATTCAGGGGTTTAGGGTTTGGGGTTTAGGGTTTAGAGTTTAGGGTTTAGGGTTTAGGGGTTGAGGGGTTTAGGGTTTAGGGTTTGAGGGGTTTAGGGTTTAGGGTTTAGTGGTTTAGGAGTTTAGGG